TATAAATTTATATCTGCATATAATTTATATGTATATAAATATTTGCAATGATAGTTTCAATGATATATATTATATACATAAAATTTATATCTACATAATACATATTAAATTTAAATATATAAATCGGTCATATAGTCTACAAACTTAATTTGGAATATTTTTTTATTTATCAAATTTTATGTTTGAGATAAAGTAAGATTTCAATTTATGTTCAAAATCTATTACTAAGGTAATGGTTATCAACTGAATGAAGGATTTAATAACCTAACCCCAATATTTAGGAGATGAGAATATGTTGGGTCAAGCGTAAAGCTGATACTATTATTCTTAAGCATATATATTGTATACTATCTACGTATGTATATATATGCACAAATAAACATTAGTAGTCAACACGTGGTTGATCAATGTCAATGTAGTGCTGAAAATAAGAGAGGAAGCACGCGAAATGAGCGAGGAAGAAGAAACATGCACAGAGAAGAAAGTGGGATTGAGCGTAGGAAATCAAAAAACAAAAACAAAACCGCAGGGGAAACATTTCAGGGTGGGTTCCATCATTCTTAGTTTTTCAATTATTTTCTTTTCTTTCTAGATTATTCTTCCTGATGAATAATTTTTATACTCCTCATTTACATACTTCCATTCTACTTTTGTTGGGTTTTTGAGAATTTATTTTCGGATTTATTCTTGGTTTTGTGTTTATTTTCTTAGTTTGAGAAGAAGATTGGGTGCGTAGTAATTTTTGCCAATTTGGGATCAAGAATTAAGCCGAGGACAGAATGATCAGCGTCACGACGGTGGATTGACACCAAGAGCTGAAGAAAAAGGAAGAAAATAGAATGATCAGTGTCGCAACGCCAGCGCGAGAAATTGCGAATTATGAAATTTTTATTCTAGATTATGCCCTTGTGAACTAATGAATATAAATAGAAAAGTTTAGGGTACCTTTTTTGCAGAGAAAAAAGAGAGGGAAAGTGGCATGTGCGGAGGAGGAGGAGATTCCATTCGGAAACATAATTTTGGCTTCTAAACTCATCTTCAATCCCAATTTTTCTTCTTTCTTCTCTCTATGTTTATAATTTCCTTAGGATGTTTGTTATTAAACTCTTTTTTTGGGGGCTAGGACGATTGTTAATATTTTTTTTATTTTAATTAATTTGATGTTTATTCAGAATATGCTGAGTGTTTCAATTTATATTTAATAATGCATGTGATTATCTTACCAACTGTTGTATGATTCAGAGATTCTAGTTGAGAGACCGAGAGAAGAAAATTGAGTTTGTCATAATTGGATCGTTATAAATTTATCGTAGAATAAAGATATTTATGAAATTTGTGTAGTAGTACAAATTTTTTGCTCTTAATAAATTTTGATGGGGTTTATAATTGCCACATAGATGTAGGAATTTAGCTTTATTCTACGATGAATTTTTAAGTCTTGAGAAAGATTAATAATTATATTTGTAAAATTTGCTTTCAGTATAGGAATAAATGTTGATTAATTAGAATAAAGAAAATTTAGCATGAAATGTCTTATAATCAGTCCTTGTGGAATCGATAATCTTTCTCTATCACTTTATTAGTTGTTAACGATATTGTGCACTTAAAATATTTTTCACGACACTTTCTCCATATTTTTTAATTTTCTCACTCTCATAATTACTCTTCCCTTTAAATTTCTATCGTAGTTGTTTATAAATTATTTTCTTTTACTAAATTCTAGCACTGATAAAGTATATGTCAAATTTGGGATTTGACAACTTGTTAGTAAAGCCGGTTGATTCTAAAGAAACTCTTGCAAGTTTCATAGTTGTGGTAAAAAATAAGGCTAAAACCCAAAATGTCGAAACTTCAAAAGATATGCACTTGCAAGACAAATATGCATAAGGTGGATAAAAAAACATTCAAATTTTATATCCGAAAAGTATGAATCTCAATAGCAAACTCAAGCATCTTAGACTAGAGATTAACTATGTTTACTAATAATTGGAAAGGCTCATTGAACTCTTACAAGGCAATTCATGAACATGTGAAAACATTGCACGAGTAAGTCCCTCCACCTCTGTTTTAAATATTGATTGAAGAATTTACCCCAACACTTGAACTAAAGAACTAGGGGTTGGTAGTTCATATCAGAGGGGTAACAAAGCATAAATTCCTACCCTGAAAATTCTAAACTTTCTTTTTATCTCTCTCTCTCTCTCTCTCTCTTTTAAACTTTTCTCATTTCTCTCCTTGATTTCTCCTTTTCTCTCCTTGTATTTTCTCTCTCTCCTGAGACTTCTTCTCTTTAAAAACCTCTTTATATCTCTCGATCTCTCCTTTTTTCTCTCTTTATAATCTTAGCCTTTCTCTTTCAACTCTTCTCTTTTTTGGTCTCTCACTAATTGTCTTTTCTCTTTAATATTTCTTATTTTCATATTCTTCCACTATATTTTTTAATTTTTTTACTCTCAAAATTACACTTGCCTCTAAATTTTTACCATAATTATTTGTAAATTTATTGCTTTTACCAAATTATAGTATCAATAAAATACATGTCAAGGTTGAGATCTAATACATAGGTTAACGTTTATGTGTTTGTTAGTAAATGGGAGATTTGTTTTTTAAAAACAGTGAGCCTAGAGGATTACGTGGAAAATATTTTTTACTTTATTAACATGTTGCTAGTCAGCATCATGTGGCATGTACATGTGGTGTTGACTAACAAGTGAAATAAGATGGGTTAGGGTTTATGTGTATGTTAGTGAATGGTAGATTTGTCTCCCGAAAACAGGAAGCTTGAATGATAATATTGGAAAATGTTTTCCACGTTATCAACATATGGCTAGTCGATGCCATGTGGCATGTATACGTGGTGTGGACTAATGATTGAAACAACATGGGTTAGGATTTATGTGAGTGTAAGTGAATTGGAGATTTTGTCTCCCAAAAATAATGAGCCTAGAGGATGATGTGGAAAATTTCTTTTAAGTTATTAATAAGTGGCTAGTTAACGCCATGTGATCTGTACATGTGGTGTTAATTAAAAAATTGAAATAACACGAGTTAAAATTTATGTATATATATGCGAAGGGGAGAAATAGAGAGCGTAGAGGATGATATGAAAATATTTTTCCACATTATCATATGGCTAGTCAAGGTCACATAGCTTCTACACGTAGTATTGACTAACGTTTAGTTAATGAAAGGTTAGTTTTTGGTGTTTATTTGAAAAACTATATACATATTAAATGAATAAGGTTTAAAACAAAGCAAGAAACCCTTTTAATGGATTAAATATATATATATAAAGTGGCAATAGTACAGGGGCACGTTTCCTGCACTGTTAATAAAAAGGTGACAATAGAACAGGGGCATGTTTCCAACGTTTAAGCCATACACTATATATTGATTATTATATACACAAATAAGTATTCATATACGTATGTATAAGTATATATACTGTATTTCTTTATGTACCATAGATTAAAAAATAATAATAATAAGCGTATTATTATACATTATATAAAATATAAAAATATAATATACAAATAATAATACTAATATATACAATTAATAATTTAAATTTTCTACTTATATTACTTAATATTAATTTACAAATGATAATTTAAATTAAAATTTTCTATTAGTTTTTAATTGAATTTTAATTTTTTTACAATTTTTTTAACCAAATGCACACTTTCTGCTTTTGGTTTATTCTTTTCTTATACTATTTTGGGTAATTTTATTATTTTTTATTAAATAACGTCTTTAACTTAATTAAAATAATAACACTTTTTAGAAGTGTTTTTAATAAATATAAAATAATTTTTTACTAAAAATATTTTTAATTAACAATTATTTTAACAGCACTCCTAAAATTTACATGATAAATTACAATTATGTCAAATTCTCGCTTACTTAATATAGGTTAAATAAAATTCAGTATATATAAAATTTAATTTTAAAATTTTTAATTTGTATATACAAAAGTAGAATCTTAACATTAATTTTTTTTTTTAAAAAAAAAAAAAATTGTCCAAAAATTCCTGTAATTCTTTTAGTTGAAACTAGACACATTGAAGGACAAATTACTGAGTTATAATTAAAGCTAAAAGCAAAATTGACATAAGAGAAAAAGAAAATTCTTCTCCCCAAAATTTTCCCTATCCCTAGAAATGCAATGTACTTTTGGGCACACTATAACATATGTAACAAAGATTTGTTTTTGTATTGTCGCATTAGTTTGGTATGTGTAAATTTTAATACATATCGAATATTCTCCTTTAATTGGATTTGGTCTAAATACTTTGATAATTTTTTATAAGCTAATAGAATGTTTGTGTATACAACATTAATTTATAAATTATGGTTTAATTAAATATAATTAATAATCTCGTCCATTTCTTAGATAGTGTAAATTTAAATAATCCTTGTGTTAAAAAACAAAACTTTTCTAAATCTAATCAAGACATGCGCAATTGGATTGTCTGCGGTGGTACCGACAATAATAATAAAATCAACTGAGGGAATGTAGGAACAAAACTATTTACATATAATATAAATAAATACATTAATAATGGCAGCAATCTTTAAGAAAAAAAAATAATAATAATAATAATTAATTTATAATATTTAATTCAATAAAATTAAAATTTTAATATATTAATAAAATTATACTTAAATTTTAACTAAAAAAATATTTATTTATTCATTTAGAAAATCAACTTTACAATAAAAACGTGGAACTAATATTCTTTTAACATTTTTTTTTTTTTTTTTTTTTGGTTCTATTTAACATGGTCACTAATGCAATTGCAACATAATTTAAACACTACTAATTAAGCATGTCTTTTGGAATTAATAATGTACTAATGTTGTGTCAGGCAGAAATAATCACTGACCAACTGATCCCCAGTAGGAAGATGTACAAAAAGGTATGTATAGTACATACTACAATCCATATATATATATATATATATATATATATTTATATTTATATTTTTTACAATAACACATTTCCCACCTAATGAAGCGTTTTGTTTGTCAATCTAGTTGCGGGGGGGAAGGATACTCTTACAAAATTTGAAGTATTTATAAAATTAAATCAACCAAATGAAGATGACAAGACAAGAAGAAGACATTAATTAAACTCCTAAAAACTTAATCTATACTTCCGTCACTTCACCTTCCTTACATACTCCCACATTGATTTCAATGCTTCCTTTCTTCTTTGACTCCATTTTCACCCTGCAACAGTTTCTTCTTGGAGACTGCCAAAAAAACAATACCCAACACATAAGAAACTAAATTAAACTTTACCAATTTGAAATGTTGAAATTTACTTACTCTGTCCCATAGATGAGGATCTGGTCTTTTGTATACCACCACCATGTCAAGATCACCAGGATTTGCCATCTTCCATTTGCAAGCAGGGTGAGCTACTCGATGTCGGGCATACTCGCTCACTGTCGTGTTCAGTGAAGCATCAAATTTTGCCTTTGAAAAATAAAACACAAAGGGTTTCTGGCAAGGATTCCGGCTGACCGGACGGGTGTTGAATGCATATGCTGTGTAATCTGCTCTTTTGTACCAATTCAAGAATGTCCTTGACGGCATTTCCATCTCTCTCGGTGAGAAGATTCCTCGGAAAACCTGAACAGCATACCCCCACGAGACTGAGATCGTCCAGCTCTTTGTCTTGTCATAGCAGATAGACTGTTGCATCAGCCCTGCTGAGTCCAGCCTCATTGGGATCAGAAGACGCTGAAGGGCTTCAACTCTTGTAGAATCCGGGAAGATAGGTTCAACAACATCAAGATGATGCAAAGAAACAAATGGCGTAACAGGGTGAGCAGCCAGCAGCCCAAACAGGTTTCCATACACATCATACTGATACATTTATAGTCACCCATTCACCAGGAAGAGAATATTAGAATCAACAAACAACTTTCATGATCATGCAACTCCAAAAACAGATTCAGAATAGTATATTTCACAAACTTGGTATGATTTTTTAATCTCCCACCATTTGTTTATCTTCTACACTCATCCAAAAAAAAAAAAAAAAACTACCTCAAATAGAAATGAGCAAACATGATAATGTAATAATCCAATTGTCCCACTAGGAAATACACTAAATTGGTGCATGAATTTCACTGAAATAGGAAAATACTACCCAGTGGGGGTAGTTGGCCCAATTGGAAACCAAGGTCAGTAGCTAGCGGAGCGTAAGACACACGCGACATCAATGGACGTCGGTGACAGATTTCCGAGGCGAGACAAAACCAGGTCCAAGTCTAATTACACGTGGGCCCCAACACCGACACATACGTCTGAATATAGGTACCCTATCCCTTGGGATGCACAAAACCAAAATTGAACTAATCATCCGGGTGTGGGTTTTAAAACCCTTAAATTCAAAACCCTTTCATACACCAATTTTATGGTCTACAAAAATGAAAAATTACCCATTTACAATCAACACCTCAACTTTCCTCGAACCGCAACAGACCGGGAAACGGAACTATCAACACTGACATTTATATTAATATAACTTCTGTTCATGGTTAATTTTATTAATTAACAAGTAAACACAGTATTTCGTTAGCAATTAAATGCACCAGTGTATGGTTAGAGTTCTAATTGAATTAAGCAAACGCTTCAAAATTCTCAAATCATTAATGGGGAAACATAGAGAGTAATTGACCTGATGAAAACCGACTTCCTTGGTGAGTGGAACACCGAGTTCGGCCATGCAAGCTTGCATCCTATCATCAGACCCATATAATCCTGGATATCGCTGTATGCATCTGTCCTGCATCTTCAGCAGTGCTTTGGCCAATGGGTAGCTAATGGCGAACCCACCACCGCCATAGGCCATCCCATAAGAGAAAAATATGTTTTGAAGATGAGATTCTGATAAACTTCCTATGTAATAAAACTGGTTGTGGTCGTATTTCTTCAGAACTCTGAGCAGATTCTCTGTAATGAAAACGGTGTCGTCGTCCCCCATCACGAACCACCTCACATTTTCCTGCCCCAACCGGAACGTTTCAGATACGATCCGCGAGATCCGAATCGCCGAACGATGGCCCTGTGGGTTGTTATACGGGAACTGAGACGTTTCCGCCGATATTCTCACCGGCGGTAGTAGGTCTCTCTCCTCCTTCGGGGTTTTCACCTCGTTGTCAAGCCACACTGTGCCCCGCATTAGCTTCGGTTTATACCAAATCTTGATGTACTCTTTCCTCTTGTTCCAAAGCTTTGACGACGCAGCGATGCCGAAGACTATGTGACGGATGTTTGTTTCTACATCCTCCTGCCGCAATAGCTGATGATGCTGCAGTGGGGCCGGTTCTTGGGAATCGCGCCGTCGATGTACCGTTTTGTTCATTACTCGCTCAATCAACGGCCGGGATGTATTGAGGGATGATAGTGATGCTGATAATGACGAAGATAATGATGATGATGATGAGATGGATTGACGGTTTTCGAGAGAGAAGGGTTCCTCGTCGCAGGTCTGGGAGGTGGAGACGAGCTTGAGGGTGTAGACGACATAGGTGACGGAGATGGAGAGGATGAGCCAGAACATGAGCTTGGGGATGGGTCGGGTCTGCGAACCAGACCCGGAAATGGGAGTCCCCGATGCCATCCGATCCGAGATTAGTTTCTCTGATTCTTTCTGGGTCACTTTCATCTCTCCTTCTTATTTCCAAAAATGACCAAGAAAAGCAAAATCAAAGAGAAAAAAACTCTAAATCTTTTCTTCTTGGGTCTCTTTCTGTTCCTCCAACTAATACGAAGAAAACTCCAACTTCCTATTCAGCCAAAACAGAGAAATCAGAGCTTGTACATTTTGTAAAAAGGAAAAAGAAAAAGGTGTTGTGTTTGAATGAATTTAAGTAGGGATCTTTGCCCAGATGTGGTAAGATGATAAAAAAAAAAAAAAAAAAAAAAAGAAAAGAAAAACTAATTGGGTTAAAAGGTGGAGATGAATGTGGTTTGATTGAGTGAGGAGAGCGAGAAAGGGTAAATTTTGGAAGAGACGATAGAAAGAAATAAGAGGAAAGGGAATAGAAGAGAAGGAAAGGTGAGAGCAGGCATTGCTGCAGCCAGGTTGCTCTTCCACACAAGGGAACACGCTTACACGGGGAAAATTAGTTTGGCCTTTATTGTTGAGAAATGTCTTGGGTGTAAGTTGCTCGGATCGGGTAACAATCGTGTAAGTAGAAATCAAAGTGTGATGATCATATCAGGGGCCCCATTCGAACACGTGTGATAGATGGGTGGCAAGAGGAATGCAGAGAAAGATGGGCCTACCAAACTAAAACAAAACAAACAAATGGACAGTAGTAGTTTAAGTTTCGCCGTTATTTATAATTTTAGTTTAAAATCAATTAATATTTTACTGATGCTAAAAAAAAAACAACAATAAATGTATATGTTGTGGAAGTAATATTAGATGAAAAAACAGCCCCAGTTGAACAAATTTAAAACAAAGGCAAAAGAATTCAACTTTTGGTAATTTTTTGTTTGGTTTGAAAAGTCATACTTGTTTTTCTATCTCACAAATTTTAATAATGAAAAAACTTTAATGATACAAATTACTATAGTTTGTGTTGAAAATACTTGGTTCATATAACTTATATTTTTTTTTGTTATAGAATCTCCATTTGTATTTTCTCTTGTTAAATTAGAACAATACAAATTTAGAACCACATTATCAGTGCTTTTACCGTTGGAATAACAAGTAGATTTATATATTCCAAGATCATATTCAAAAATCTTATATATATTTTTTTCTCATTTTATTTGGGTGAAATATCAACCTTACAACTTGCTTTATCACTATATTTCACATATTTATCAAAAAAAATTATTTAGTTATATACTTTTTTTTGTATTTTAATTTAAATATAAACTATAATTTACATATTTTGTTTTTTTACAATATAATTTAAAAAAAGATACAAATATATATATATATATGGGGTGAAATGGGGTGAGGTTGTGAATATAAGCAAGTAATTTAGTTTTTTCATCCATAATATTAAAAATGTATGCAAACTATTTAGGGATTGTTTGTACTAATTGAAGAAATCCATATTACATCACCAACGTAGTGGATAAACTCAAAAATCTCATAATCATAAATTCTCATCCTTGCCGATTGTACCACCTTTCTGTTAGTCCAGACCGTATACGATTAAATCCCTCGCTGCTACATTTTTCTGGTAAACCTCCCTAAAGCCCCTGCAGCGAGAAGACCTGCCATAACCAAACCGTCATGAATGAAGAGATTCGCTCGCGCACTCTCTCATTCTAAGCCCTCCATCAAAACCTTAATCACTCAAAATCTCTACTCGCAAGCCTTCAAGTATTCGCTTTCTTCTCTTAATCCTCTCCTCACCGACAATGTGTATTCCCTTTTTATCAAGTCAGGCTGTCCCCTTGACCCCTTCTTATCTGCCACTCTCATCTCTCACTTCTCCAGAAATGGAGATTTCGCTCGAGCCCTCGCCTTCCTTTCAGATACCCAAAACCCCGACACCGTCACCTACAACGCCCTCATTTCTGGGTTTGCCCGTTTTCGACGATCTGCAGGTGTTTTTGAGTTGTTTGATGATATGAGATATCTTGGTTTGCGGCCTGATGTGTACACACTCAGTTCTTTGGTTAGGGGCTGTGATGGTTTGGATGAGAATGAGATTGCGCACGGGATTTGTTTGAGGACGGGACTTGGTAATGAGGGGTTCGTGGTAAGCGGGTTGATTGAGAATTACACCAAAAACGGGGACTTAGAGTCGGCCGAGAAGTGTTTTGCCAATTGTTTGCGCGTTGATAATGTGGTTTGTACATCTATGATCTGTGGATATGTTAGGAATGGGAAGTTTGGGAATGGTAAAAATATTTTTTCAGGGATTACGCGTTTGGGTTTGCAGTTGAACGAATTTAGCTTGACTGGTGTTCTTGGGGCGTTGGATAACGTGAGAGAAGGGGAGCAGATTCATGCACTTGGCCTTAAGATGGGTTTGTTGAACGGTAGTTCAATTCATTTGAACAATGCAATCATGAGTATGTATTCCAGGTGTTGTAGTAGATTTGATGCTGTTAAGATGTTTGATGAAATTATTGAACCGGATATTGTTTCTTGGACCGAGAGGATAGGTGCTGCTTTTGATGGCGAGGAAGCTTTGGAATGGTTTAAGATTTTGCGTCTAAGAGATCTTGAGATGAATGAGTACACAATCATCAATGTTTTATCTGCAGTTGCAGGCAATAAAATATTGGTGGTTGGGAGACAAGTTCAAGCACTTTGTCATAAGTCAGGGTGTTTGCATATGGTTTCTGTTAGCAATGCTTTGATAACTTTGTATGGGAACTGTGGAGAGATGAATGATGCAAGTTGCATGTTTAATGAGATGGTTTATCGTGACTCTGTTTCTTGGAATTCTCTTGTTGCTGGGTATGCTGGAAATGGATTTTGTGGTCAAGCTCTTGAAAAATTTTCTCAGATGCGTCAATTTTCTCTTCAACCCGATAACTATACAGTAGCTAGCATTCTTGAAGCAGTGTCCAACTTCAATTGTCTAAAGCTGGCAATGCAAACACATTCATATATAATTAAATATGGATTTTTGTTGGATGATTCCATTGTGTCTTGCTTGATAACAACATATGGGAAGTGCAATGGGATCAATGAATCGAAAATGATATTTTTTGAGATTGATGAAATGAATGTGGTACATATTAACGCAATGACAAGTGCTTTGCTTAATTCTCATTGTCATCAAGATGCTATGCATTTGTTTCAAACCACATGGAACTCCAACCTTAAGATAGACAGCAGAACTTTCAGTACTGTGCTTAAAGCTTGTGCTGCTGTAACTGATCTGGATCGAGGGAGAGCAATTCATTCCCTAACTCTAAAATCCGGATTACATCAGGACAACTTTGTTGTCACTGCTGTCATTGACATTTACTGCAAGTGTGGCAGCATAGATGATGCAGAGAAAGCATTCAGGAGTGCATCTGAAGAAAATTTGGCTGCTTGGAATTCAATTATTTTGGGATATGCGCAACATGGTCGCCATTGCAAAGTTCTTGAGCTCTTCCGCTGTTTGTTAATATTTGGAATTAAACCTGATGAAATAACTTATCTTGGGCTTCTTATGTCATGTTGCCATTCTGGGCTTGCGAGAGAGGCACAGACTTTCATAAACTCTATGTTTGAAATTCATGGATTAACCCCAGAATTAGAACACTATGCTTGCATGGTTGATCTGCTTGGTCGAGTAGGACGCTTGGAAGATGCAAAGGCCACCATAGATCACATGCCAATTCCACCGGATGCTCATATATGGCAAATTCTTCTATCAGCTTGTCACATGCATGGAGATGTTCACCTGGGGAGACTTGCAGCAAGTCAACTTCTTGAGATGCAGCCTGATAATGAATCTGCCTATCTTCTTCTTTGCAATCTCTATGCTTCAGCTGGTTTGTGGGATGCTATTGGGAAGTTGAGAAAGGAAATGAAAGAAAAAGTATTATGTAAAGAACCTGGTTCCAGTTGGATTCAGATAGGAGGATTCATGTATTACTTTTTTGCTCATGATGCATCCCATCCTGAGAGTAAAAATATATTTGCAGAGCTGATAAAGTTATATGACCAGATGCTTCTGGCCCCAAAATTGCAACAGGATAGCATTTTTCTCTTATATGATGGCACGTAAGATTCCAATTTGATTTATATGACTGATGATGCCCGACATGCTTTTCATTTAGTATGTTGAATCATTAAAACTTGTCTAATTAGGTTGGCTTGAGAAATTGATTCTTTTATCTACACTGTTGCATTAGGTAAGTTACAATTTTGTTCATAGAAGGGACATGGAGGACTTGATTTCGAGTGAAAGGTGAAGTCAACTAACATCCATTGCCTCTGATTTTCAGTGGCAACTAGAGCAAGTTAATTTCAAGGGCTGACGAATGATTCCAGTGCCAAAATTTGCTTTGTTGACCAATTAATTCCACTTTGCTTTTGATGTAAAGGTAAATATTCAATTAGAAGGACATTGTCGGGATAGGACCATGTTTTGAGATACATAAAAATCTGTGCTCGCCTAAGTTACTTTCCAATTCGATACAAATTCATGACAGGTACTATTTTTATCATTTTGTATCTAAGTTCTTGTTTCTATATTAGAAATACTATTTGCTTTTCAACCATAGAAGTAAAAAATATTTCATAATACAGGACTTCAAAAAATTGAGCTTTAGATAAGTGTTTTCAATCTTTATGTTCCTGGTTAATTAGAAGCAGTAATATGAAAAGTTAAAACTTTCTATTTGGAGATATCAAGGGACTGTAACTGTGATGACCATCCTGCTATTTTGGTGGTTGATTACTTCCTAGTCTTCTGTGTTCCAATAGGGTTCATCAGGTTATTCTTTTTTTCTTTTTAAGAGAGCAAGTGGACTCTACCTAAATCGTATTACTTGTATTTATGGTTTTGGTTTGAGAAGTTTTTAAATGCCAATGATGGTGTACGTTGGAAGTAGGTTTGCAAGTATTTGTTCATCGGTGAGTTTGTTCTTTTAATAATTACAGAGTTTTCATTATTTTTTCCTTAATAAATTCCTATACAAATTCTTGCACAAGGATTAGTTTGATTGGAAGAAAGTTATTTTCCTGCAGTTTCAAATTAATTTTTGGAATGGATTTGTTGCAGAATTTAACATTCAAGTGGTGTGCTTGCAATTATTTTGCTGTTGCATAGCATTACTCTGGGATAAATTTGTGAAAGTGGAATTCGGCCATATGTTCCTGGTACATAATTGTCTGCTGTTTGATACAGTTTCTTGTCAATTTAGTAATTACTACGACATTTAAAAGAGAAATTTGGAGAATATATATGTAGCATCCAACCCCAAGTAAAATAGAAAGAGTAGGTAAATAAATAAATAAATTGAGATTGGGATTTAAATGAAATGGATTTTAAAATTTTGGGGTTTTTATTTAATTTTAAGGATCTAAATGAAAACATGTAAGAAAAAAGGGAGTACAAGTATAAATAAATGGAAGTGGAAGAAAGCAAAAGAAATAAGAAAACACGAACAGTCCTAATCGAACCGTCTGAGCGGTCCAACGGCTGAGGTTTTATTGAAGATGAATGGCCCATATCAAGCTTTGTGAGATCCAACGGTCAGGGAGACGGATATAAAAAGGAAAAGTTAAGAGTTTTTTCTTCATTTGAGAGATAAGGAGAGAGGTGAGCAGATCGGGTGAGAGAGAGAAGAAGAGAGCTGTTGAGCGGGGGAGCCGAGAGAGAGCAAAATGGAGTGATTCCCAAATCCAGAAATATCGAGTTCCGTACCCGAGGAAGGCTCTTCGGCTTCCCGGGTGGTGAATCGGGTCCCCATTCCCGAAAAAGACCCTTCGGCTTCCCGAATGGGTGGATCGGAAGACCATTCAGCTTCCCGAGTAGGTGGATCTGGTTCCCATACCCGAGGAAGACCCCTTGGTTTCTGAGTGGGTGGGTGACCCGGCCGAGTACGAGCGGCCAACTCGACGCCAACAGTCCGCCTCCGTCGCCCTAACAACCAGACAATCACAAAAGGAAGTTTACATGCGCTGGTGTGGTGCGATTCGGCCTCGGGTTCAACTCCGGATGGTCCTCTCGGCTACCCCCCGACTCTCCTTGTTTGCTTGAGATTTGGATGACGGATTTCACGCCTACAAACCGGTTAATGTAAAATAGATAAAGGGATTGAAAGAAAGTAAGGTGAAAAGATGAAAAAGGACGAATTTTTACCTTACTTGCTTCAGTTTCCGTCGTCACACGACTTCTCAGCTCGATTTTCCTTCCTTCTTCCTTTCGGCTTTGGCTTCCATAACTCTCTCACCTCCGCCACTCTCTCTTCTTTTCTTCCCTTGCAGCGGCCGTTCTTGGAATTTATGTATGTATATTATTAATTTTGTGTGTATTTTAAATATAAAACAGATACTGACCCAATTTTTGATGAAGAACAGAATCTGAACCTATGACAACTGAACCATAATATGTTGGAATGTATGAGGAGATGAAACCAATAAATAAACTCAAGATTGAGGAATACTTGAACTGTGATAAGAAATAAAACTTAAATTAAAAAGAATCACCAATAAAGCGGAAGATCGAGAAAAGAAATAAAATACGTAAGGAAATAAATAAAAATAGAAAAGAATAATTATGGTTGTGAAACGATCAATTTAAATAAAAATTAAGAGGAAATTACAATGAGAGGGAAGTAATTTAGAATTTGGAAATGAGATGATGTGAGTGAATAAGGTATAGATCCTGAATACATTCTTATTTAGTCTGAATCGAGGAGAGGAGTGTGTGTGTGTGTGTGGCTAAAGTTCAGCGGACATGGAAAACCTACACATGGATAGAGTTTGAAACCTAGTTTAGACGTGAATAGGTGTTTATGAGTGTGGGTCACCTAACAAACGTAACTGATGTGGTCATTGTAAGATTTTTTTTTTGTGTGCTATCCATGTAATGAGGAGATCCATTTCACCTCTCCTCGATGATGACATAAACAGTATCGCGCTATCAAATCTTAAAAATAACTTTTTGAGTGTATATATGATCTTTCGTATATATATGGTTATATTTTGAGGTTATGATTGACATTCGAATGTATATATGTTCTTTCGAGAATATGTAGTTGTACTTCGAGGTTGTAAATGATATTTGAGTGAAATTAAGAAATCCGATCAAACACATGTGAAAATAGTGAAATTAATAAATAAACTTTACATTGAAAACATTCCTACTGCATTGTCTCATGTTATGTGTTTTGTATGAAATTTTATCTGAGTTGAAAGAATGGAAATACTTATTAAGTTGGTGAAACTCATTAAATTTCACCCTGATATTTTTCAGATGAGAAAGAAGGGTCAGAACTGCTGCCGAACAAGTAGAATTTGTGAAAGGGTTCTTGTTCATTTATATTTTGTGTATATTCAAAAAATTTTCATTTTATTTTGTTAAACTCTAAATTTTGACCTCATGTTCTGTATATATAACTACTTTATATATCACATAAGATATTAGGTTCTATGATAAATTTTGAATTATGTATATGTATATTTTGTAGGCCCATTGTATGAAAATAGTGTGAGTAGGAATTGTGACTCATATCGAGTTTGGGGTGTTACAAGTGGTATCAGAGCCCACGTTCCTAAAACTATCCCTTATGCAAGAGGTTTTAGAGTTTAAATGTGATTTTTTATAACTTTTGGGATGTTAATGAGTATAAAACGTTATATTGGAATGTTCTAATCTATTCTTTTCTAAATGTAGGGTTGTAAAATAAGACGTGGACAACCTCTAGCGAGGCAACATTTCAATTATATGTCCTTACGGGAACACATTGATCGGTTGTATCATATGGTAGAGGAGCTTGTCAATCAGCTTAGAGAAGGGATACCTTGTCCTCTCCCAATATCGGTTCCACATAATCCAAAATCACTCGTTATGGATTCAAATTGTCATTAGAAGTTTATGAGACTTAATCCTACTACCTTCGCTGATACAAAAAATTTTATTGAAGTTGAAGGATGGTTGAAGGCAGTTGAAAAGACATTTCGAGTTTTGGGGGTGACTTCTGAGTAGAAAGTAATTCTTGCGACATACCTACTTGTAGGTGAAGCTAATCGTTGGTGAGAATTCAGACAGACCACTTTACCTGCTCCCATCACCTGGGAACAGTTTTTGGGGGCGTTCAACGCCGAATATTTCCTACACGACTTCGACATTAGAAGAAGTTGGAATTTATGCAGTTAACTCAAGGGAACTTGTCGGTAGTTGAGTATGCTCGGAGATTCACTGAATTGACTCGTTTTGCTCCGGCAATTCTGACTGATGAAGAATAAAGGGCAAGAAAGTTCCAGTGGAGGCTATGTCCAGAAATTCTAGATTCTCTTGCAGTTTTAGAACTGAATACTTATGATGAAGTCTTAGAAAAAACAGAGATAGTGGAAAGCAGACTTAGGGGTTCATCCTCAAGAGCAGACAGTTCTAGACTACCTATACCTCCGAGAAGGCCGACTCCAGTGGTTGGTTCACAAGATAAAAAGCCTACAATGACAACAGAAATTTCTCCTAGACCAACATCAGCACCTGGTAAGGCACTGACTTGCCGTACTTGCAGGAAGAATAATGGTAATTAGCCATGTCATTGTGTTACTCGATCCTATTTCAAGTGTGGTAGTCAACAACATTTGATTCGCAATTGCTCACTTATGAAGGAATAGATGGAAGCTTCAAGACGGGGACGAATGTATACCCTTACTGCATCAGATGCTGAAGCAAATGCAGACATCGTCCAAAATATGTATCATGTCTCTAAAAAACTTAGATAGGGTGTTAATAGATCCTGGTTCTACACACTCATTTGTGTCACATACTTTTGTACCACGATTGGGTGTCACACCTGTTTATTTGAAATATATCTTGATGATATCTACACTAGGCGCGGATTTATTACTTTATGATGTTATATATAAAAATTATACAATAGAGATGGTAGAGAACTAAAGAGAGACTCGGTACTTTTTGATGTGAGAAATTTAGATGTAATCATAGAAATAGATTGGTTAGCAGCTCACTATGCGACTTTAGACTGTCGTAACAAGAAGGTTGTATTTAATATTTCTAATGAAGAAACTTTTACTTCTTAATAGAATGGTATTATTTACAATATATTATCGTTATATAAATTGCACAACTTATTAAACCTAACATGTGGAGATTGACGTGGTAGGTAATAAAAATAAGGAGATTGATTTTTATGATGTGTTAGTGGTTCGAGAATATACAGATGTATTTCTTGATGAACTTTCAAGGTTACCCTCGGACCGTGAAATAGAATTCTCTATTGATCTACAACTAGGCACTCAACTTATCTCTGTTTCTCCTTATAGACTATTAAGAGCTGAAATGGAAGAGTTAAAGAAACAATTAATAGAACTCCAAGAGAAATGATTTATTCGCCCTAGTGTCTCTCTTTGGGGTGCTCCTGTGACATTCATTAAGAAGAAAGATGGAACCAAACGAATGTACATTGATTACAGAGAACTCAACCGGGTCACCATCAAGAACAAATATTCTTTGCCCAGAATTGATGATCTTTTTGATCAATTGCAAAGAGTCCAAGTGTTTTCCAAAATTAATTTACGATTCAATTACCATTAGGTGAAGATTAAACCTGAAGATATTCTAAAGACAGCTTTTAGAACCAGATATTGTCATTACGAGTTCTTAGTCTTACTGTTTGAGTTGACAAATGCCCCGACAGTATTTATGGATATGATGAATCGGATATTTGAGTCATGTCTAGATCAATTCGTTATTTTATTTATTGATGATATATTGATTTATTCAAAGAGTCGAGAAAAACATGCAGAACACTTGAGACAAGTTATGAAAACTCTTAGGAAAGAAAAGTTATATACAAAACGGAGTAAATGTGCATTATGTTTTGAATAGATTGCCTTTTTAGGCCACGTAGTTTCCAAAGATAGTTTCCATCTTAAAGGTGATCATGTGTTCTTAAAGGTGTCACCAATGAAGGGTCTTCTAAAATTTGAAAAAAAAGGCAAATTGAGCCATCGCTTCATTAGACCGTTCGGAAGACTAGAGAGAATTGTAACTACCGCTTACCGATTTATATTGCCACCAAAGTTGGCTAACGTCCATGATGTGTTTCATATATCTTTGTTACGCAAATATCATCTTGATCCATTATATGTAATTCAACATTAAGATATTCCTATTCAAAAAAATATGTCATATCAAGAGATACCGCTAGAATTATTGGATAAACAAGAGCGAGTATTGAGAAATAAGACTATTTCGATGGTTAAAGTACTCTGATAACATCATTTACCAGCAGAAGCTATTTGGGAGATTGAGGACTCAATACGAGCTCGATTTTCTCATTTGCTTTAGAAACATATCAAATTTGGAGGACCAAATTTTTGTAAAGATATGAGAATTATAACATCCAACCCCAAATAAATAAAAAGTATAAGTAAATAAATAAATAAATAAATTGAGATTGGGGTTTAAATGAAATGGATTTTAAAATTTTGGGGTTTTTATTTACTTTCAAGAATGTAAATGAAAACATGTAAGAAAAAAGGGGGATAAAACCATAAATAAATGGAAGTGAAAGGGGGAAAAAGAAATCAGAAAAAACGGGCGGTTTTGATCGAACTGTCTGAGCAATCCAATGACTGAGGTTTTATTGAAGATGAACGGCTCAAATTAAGCCTTGTAAGATCCAACGGCTAGGGAGACTGCTATAAAAAGGAAAAGATTAGGATTTCTTCTTCATTTAAAAGAGAAGCCGAAAAAGAGAGAGAGGAGGAGAGAGGTGAGTTGATCGGATGAGAGAGAGAAGAAGAGAGCTGTCGAGCGGGGGAGCCGAGAGAGAGCAAAATGGAGTGAGAGCCGAGTGGAAGAGAGAAAGAGAGGAAAGGAAGAGGGAGGCCGGAGAAGAGGAAGGGAGAGAAGGAGAAGCGTAGCCGAGCGAGAGAGTGAAGGGAAGAGCTGAGAATGGCCGTCGCAAGGGAAGAAAAGAAGAGAGAGTGGCAGAGGCAAGAGAGTTGTGGAAGCCAAAGCCGAAAGGAAGAAGAAGGAAGGGAAATCGGGCTGAGAAGCCGTGTGACGGCGGAAACCAAAGCAAGTAAGGTAAAAATTCATCTTTTTTATCTTTTCACCTTACTTTCCTTCAATCCCTTTTTCTATTTTACATTAATTGGTTTGTAGGCATTAAATCTGTCATCCAAATCTCAAGTAAGCAAAGAGAGTCGTGGGATAGCCGAGAGGACCATCCGGAGTCGAACCCGAAGCCGAATCGCACCACACCGGAGCAGGTAAACTTCCTTTTGTGATTGTTTGGTTGTTAAGGCGACAGAGACGGGCTGTTGGCGATGGGCTGGCTGTGCGTGCTTGGCCGAGTCATCCACCCACTTGGAAAGTGAGGGGTCTTTCTCGAGTACGGGGACACGATCCACCCACTCGACAAGCCGAAGGGTCTTCCTCGGGTATGGGGACCCAATCCACCCATTCAAGAAGCTGAATGGTCTTCCTTGGATATGGGGACCCGATTCACGACTAGAGAAGCCGAAGAGCCTTCCTCAGGTACAGAAGTCGATATTTTTGAGCTTGGGAACTAGGACCATAGGGGAGCATATTGCTCACCCTTACGCGGTGAGCCGCACATCCCGTCGGATTGTCATTGAAACCCGTAATTTTGATTGAATTTAATTTCTGTTTAGTATTTAAATTATATTAATTAACCTATGTCGTATGTGTACAGTGAATAATAACGTTCAAGCGGATCTGGGAGTAGAGTTGCGCAAAAGAGTTGATCAATTTTTGATGAAGAACAGAACCTGAACCTATGACAAGTGAAACCTAATCTGTTAGAATTTATGAGAGATGGAACCAGAAAACAAACTTAGA